TCCCATTGGCGGATGAAAGATGAGTAGCATCTATTTCGGTGCTAGATTGCATGACCTTCTCCATTTCAGCTGGTGTCTCAAATGTGGTGGTGTTCAAATTGTTTCTGGGAGAGTTGTTCTGCCTTTCGAGAAGCTTCAGAAGGTTTGGAATGAGGCTGGACGGAGTTTAAATTTGCTCATCTGACGTTTTGGATTGTAGTGCTTCGAAATGAAGGAAAATTGGTTGGGAAGACTGTAAATATTGTTGATAGACTAATATTTTATTCGGTTTCACTTGATAACTGCTGAAACCATGGATTAGCCGTTATCTCTCAGACCCTTTTGGAACAAAGTTACTACAATTTCGCCTCTCAAGCCTGCAATTTCCTGTTTTATTTTCTCTAGACCAGTATTTTGGGCTATCGACGACCGGATGAGCACAAAAAGAGTCTCAACAGAGAGTTTCATCAGCGTTTTCCGAATGTCCAACTAACCCTGACAAAAATGCGTAGTCTTAAACTCAATCTTCTCTCAATCGCCTTGAGGGTAAGTTTGTGTTCTCCTAGTAGAATGCTTATTAGTATACTTTTAAGTAGCCATCAGTTCATCTGGAGCTGTTTGATTTTCATTTTGGTGTCCATTCCTGTCAAAACCTATCCCTTCATTTAACGAAAATCTTCAAGACGCTTTTTTTGAACTGGAATCACTTCGTGGCTTTGATTTGATTCTTGGGAGTGGCTGAGGGACGACTACCGTCTACTTGACTAGGTTCTTGCTAATTCGACTGGCATAACTTGGGATTGGAGGGAGGGCGACATCAGTTGCGGCAATGCAGTAAATGCCGTGTCGTTATTCCAGCTAAACGCAAAAAGCTAAACCGTGCAAAATAATGAACTGTCCAAACTGCTGTTCGCAATCGAAACACTGCCATCACAACGGCGATACAACGAGCGTGGGCTGCTTCGTCTTTTAGTCTTGAACGCCCTCGACTCCAAGCACCACTTTTTGATGTGATTTAGGTCCACTTTTTTTTGATTTTTCAAGTCTGTATACCACATAGTTGAGGCCTGGAAAGATGGTTGTATACCGTTTTCGGGTATGAGTTCGATCATTTTGACTAGTTCATTTCGTGCTGTATGCCTTTTTTTTTTGTGCATCGTTCACCCTCCCACTTGGAACAGCTCAAACAAATTTACTTTCAAGTATTCTCTCATTGTACTTCTGACTCCCTTTTTTTAAATTACTTTAGATGAATTTGGACCTGTGGATCGTAGCCCACGCCTATGTTCTTTTCGAGAAGATGGTTTTAAAGGTGATCCTTTAGTAGACTCTCCATTCATCTCTGTTCCTCCTTAAGAGGCCATTCACAAGTGTACTTGAGTACGTGCCAAAGTTCACTAAACAAACAAACAAACAAACAAACCAATTTGGTTGTTGTTGTCTTACACTTGAAACCACTGCCTTGACCTCCCCGATTGGCAATAACAAATCCGCTGATTCCAGTGTCTCGATTATGGCTGCCTTATGCTCCTTTCAGCTGTTTGTCTGCAAGTCGAATCGAAAGCTTTGCGCTGGAGCTGCCTTGCTGATCAGTGCCAAGTTGAATGATCTGAAGGGACCAGCTCTACCTGTTTTTATTCAGGTTTGTCTCCTTGCTTCCTGCTTCCTGCAAAGAAGGCGTCAAGCCTTTCAATCTCTTAGCAGTAACTAGAGGGAGCCTAGGGAGCTGATTTTTCACCTCTTTTTTTCCCCCTCCAGCATTGTCACCTAAGCATAGGTTTAATTTGTTAAATTTTAATTACCATTTTCTTGGCGCGCCTTGCAAGAGGTTACCAAATACAGCTAAGTAGTGATTTTATTCGATGATGATCTAGTCTTGATGAAACCACTACTTTTTTTTTTTCTTAATCCATTCAGGAGATTGAGAGCGAACTTCGAATCTCCCATCGAGATCTCCTGAGAATGGAGATGGCGGTATTTATTGGATTGGAGTTTTGTGTTTTGCCAAGCCCCGCTGAGACACAACCTCATTTTGCTCAAATTCAAAAGTCCCTTGGAGTTGTATCTGTGCCGCGACGTCCATCGAATGCGTCGCACTCTCTCGAGGACGATCATGTCTTCACCTCGACGGAGTAGTGATTGAAATGATCTTTCTGTGATACAATACAATCTATCCAACAAGTAATATTTTATATGTTATTAAAACGGATTAATTTGTGTTTTATTTTTAACGAAGTACAGTTATCACTTTTATTGGACACCATGTTTTGCATTTCGAGTCACCTTTGGAGTCATAGGAGGTCATTATTTGCAAAGATCTTTGTATTATTTATGTACAGTCGAGCTGAGACACTATAGGCTTGGACGGGCAATTGAAGCACCCCTCGTTGCATCACCACCTTCTCTGTCCTTAATTGCCCTCGCCACCACTCTCCACTCCTTCATGCCGTATCTTGTAGAAGGCGAGTTTTGTCCTCACTGGTGCGTTAATAGGAGTGAGTTGGCAGTTGAAAATTGTCGCTGCTATCACTTTAATTTAATCTCACCCATTTGCATGATGCTGCTGAGGCTGTAAGGCTGCACTTGGTGCCACTTGCACTATTGTCTCCTCTGTACGATTATGTGGATGCTCTAATAAACGAACAATTTCAATTTTTACTGCCTGGTTTTTTTGGGACTGGAAAGTGGGATGGGCGTTGAGACTTGGTTTGCTGTTTTTCACCTACCTCAATCGCGAGTTCTGCAACAGGCGTCGGTAATGAAGTGGGGTCAGGTGTGAAGGAATCAAAATTAGCCTTAAAGAAGTGCTTACAGGAATACAGATTTATGGGCCTGATGTGAGGGCATGATAGCCTCGTGTGTTCCATCCAGGCGAATACTTCTTTAAGAGGCGATCGGTACGGGGCAATGTACTCGCTTTTAGTACATCTCTCAACATTTATTCCTCTCCAAGATTTCATCTATCCCCTAACTATACACCACGAAATTTACGCTTCTGTGTCGTCCGAAAACAACATCTCCAAGGATTGAGAGATAATGCGGAAAGGTTTGAATTGGCTTGAAATGCACATCTCATGCCGACGCCCTGAATGGAATGATAAATACTTCACTATTGACATGGAACTTTTCCCTTTTTTTGTTCTTCATTCTAGTGTGTCCTATCTCTGTGATAGTGATAATTCTTGAAATTGTCATGTGGAGTACAACTTCACATCACTTTATTGGAAGCATAAAACTTGTCCATTCAAAATGGCGATGTCAAGTCCACCTGCTGAAATGAATTATGAACTGTGCTAGGCGATTGGTATTGCAGCAATCATTGCACATTTCCCATATTTGAGGTGTCATTAATCAGAACTCTGAAAAGTTGGTTGACAAAGCATGAGGTGAATGGTGGATTGAAGTAAAAATGACGTTCATAGCTGTGTGTGTGTCTCCTCATCATTCCATGAGTTGACCTTTGCATCGGAGGAATTTGACAGTCACTTGGTCGTAGGATCTACGATGGGAGTGTTTCCCTTACAAAAACAACTCGAGAGTTAATACTCGATGGGATTTGACAAGAGTGATGAAGGAGTTGGTTTATGTCAGAGTTACTTGTGAGGAGAGAGTTCTGCATGGCACCAAACATTAGAAGGCAATAAATTTGTGCTTCTATGAATGTTGTAAAGGCGTTCAAATTTGGCAAAACTGTTTCCTGCCTGACTCACCAAGGGATTGAGTCGGAAATGAAACGAAAATACATCATTTTTCACTCCCAAACGGTTAATTACACCCGTACTGCACTACTTCTCACCTCCAAACACCCTAATTGCTTCATTCTCTGATGCCCATTCCTATGTTGAGGGTAAGGGTTGAATTTGATGGTTGAAAACAACTCTGCGGTACTGTGCCTTTTCGCCTTGTAAGAAAGAACAAAGTCATGTGAAGTCTACTGGTTGTTTGTCTACCTCACAGGTTTAGTAAAGGGGTCAGTTGAAGTGCTTCGCTCTTTTGCCTCCGTCGTGTGGGCTGACTCCTGGACTGCGTTGGTAGTGTCAGTCCCTTCTGTATGCCTAATGTCCGCACTCGGCCTCACTTTTATGCCGTCTCTTGCCCTAAGGGAGGTCTTGGATGAAAACGGTGAAGACTTTTAACCGACTGTTGCAACTGTTGCAGTCTCACAGTCAGTGGGAGATCGAGTAGCAGTTAAAGTGGCACTTTGAAATGTTTGTTGCGGACCTCATGATAAGCTCAAGGCCATTTCCTTGCGAAACTATGCTAAATTTACCTTGATGCTTGTCTCTGCTTTTGAGCCAGGCTGCCAACCTCGGATCCAGTAGAACTGGGAAGCTGTACTCGTGACGTCGCGATTCGGTACCTTCAAAGAGGCCGTCAAATTTCCTTGTTAGTGAGGTATGCAGGAGGATGACGAAGAGTAACTCCATGTTGGACACGGTGTATCCTTACAAATACTTTAAACGCCACAATAATCGTCTGTGTGATGAAGCTTAATCACACAATCCTTTCAACTTTACTGATGATGGCAGTGGGATGATTTCATACCTCTTAATCAACTGCGATAGAAATAACGATGACTATCACAGAGTTTGTCTTCCCCTAGAGGCAAATACTGCTTATAATTGTGACGCTTTGAACGGGTTTAACTCTCGAATTAAGTGGTATGGACAATTTCAGACGCCGACAGACGTCATGGCTTCTTAACTAAGCCAGATAAGTCCATGTGTCGAAGAGACCTTCCATTCTCATCTTCCTTTGTTATCACGGAATTCTCAGATCGCCTTCCTATTAAAAATAAATAATTTTAAACTTAAAGGGTAGTAATCTCTTTAAAAAGTTTATTTTCTGGCGGAAAATTAACCTGCTTTTCATCTACGAAATGGGTAGGGGGAGAGAGAAAAAGAACTACTGCATTTATTGTAAAGGCAAAAAAAGGAGGTGAAGATTTCATTAGTCAAGTCAACGACCTATGTGGAAGTTCGTAGACGAAACGCGTATTCCCTAGTGTCGACGACCATGTAATGGCTGAATGCATTAAGTAGTTGAATAGGCAAAAAAAGCAAGCAGAAGAAAAATGTCAACACTATGTTGTATGGAAAATTAGTTGCACAAAAATCATCTCAAATTGTAAGTCGCATTTATGGTGGGAGTGCATATGACTTTGCATTTATTTTTGCTTTTTTTCTGTAAATTCTATTGATAAATATCGGAATGATGCTTGGAAGTTAGAAAAACAAGATAGGTGCTTCAAGGTGTTCTCCCCCCTTTTGAGCGTCGACTCCAGCATTTTAATTGGTCGAATTTACTTGCGAGCCGCACCAATCATTGACTTTATGAACAGATAAGGGGTGCTTGGGCTTTCAGAACACTCCTACTAAATCTGGTTAACTGATCAACCTAGGGATTGGATTTGGAGAGGGATAAGGGCGGCATAACTCATCAAAAGGACATCGAAAGGTGAAATTACGGGGAAGGAGTTATGCGATAGTCTTATGGGGCTAGAGTTTCATGTCTACCACACTTGTCGCATTGTAGCGCCTCTCATCTTCAACCTTAGCACGGGGGACTCCTCGCAAATTAGTACAGTAAATACACCTTTGGTGGACAGCTCTGTAATGAGTCTTTTAAGATGCCTCACGACCGTTTTCGCTCCGCGTTTTAGTTGTTTTTCTGCGAACTATGAAGCTGGGGGCAGACCCTCTGGTAGGGCTATCAATAACATAGGTTTTATTCACTACAACTTCACCAAAAAAACAAGACACCACAGATAATGACTTGGAATACTGGCATGGCCCAGCAGCGACCTGTCACAGAACCTGAGAATTAAACAAACAGGAAGTCTATCGCATATTACTTGTCATTTCTGCTTTGACGTTAAGGAATTGCTACAAGTTGCAAAACCTTGGTAAAAATTCGAGAAACCGTTATGAGTAGGAGGAAACTGAGTGTCTCCTCCTCAGAAATACAAGTAAACTGCTAGATTTTGTAATAATATCCAGAACGTCAAGGTTATGGACATTCGACCACCTTGAATATGCAGTTACCCCAATCTTATCCATAAGACCACAAAGCAAGCAATCTTTCCTGTATTAATCCGACTTGAATTTCTATTTCGCATAAAATTGCTTGACTAATGATCTTGAAGCTAATTAATGTGCAGGAAGAAGAGAGGTGTCTCGCGGTTAACCACCGCTTTTTGGCCTTTCACTTCAGCCTCTCCTCCAAACCCTCTCCATGGAGATATATGTGATATTGACAGATCTTCAATACAATTAAACCGTTGTCAGCATCGCTAACACCAGGTGGGGAGGTGAACCGAGTACAGCCATTGAATAGCATCCTTTTAATAGCCTTACTATTTTTTTTCCTTGATTATCACAAGCTGCCTTTTAGGGGAATTATGTGTGCATAAAAGTGCCTCCAGATTGTGGTAGATTGTTCCACTAACAGATGCCCGAACGCCCCACCGACTGTATTACACAAAAGCTTATGTCTATACAGACAGTTGCTAAGCAGTAAAAATCGTGACACAGGAACTCAGAATACAAACAGCCCGTAATTACTTACTCTAAATGAATGAAAGTATTATATTTTAGGCTGTTATGCTTACATCTGACTACTATCAGCCTTCTTTGCATGACAGTGATAGAGAGGAGGAGGGGAGAGGGAAGGAGGGGTTTAAAAAAACCCTAAATGTGATTATGGGTTGTCAAACTGTCTTGACAATAGGAGGAATCTTCTTGTGGCTTTTATCCCAAAGCTTGAAAAGATGAAATTCTATAAGCACCTGATTTGAATGCCAAACCCATGTCAGATTGGAGAGGTGCACAAAAGCGATGCGCTAATTGGTTGGTTAAGTCACACCGTGGCCGGTTGAATAGACGGCATGGTAGTGATCCTGGCTGGTTATTTTTAATTAGTATTAACTCGGATTGATCTCCAAAGCACTTAATTACGGTGAAATAAGATGTAGCAAAGCGGAACTGCTAAAGTACAGGTGGTTTCCGTTTGAGGGGACTCTTTATTACAAAATTGCTCATAGTCACTAATACGAATGATTAAGGAGGTGTGTTTGCAGAAAAATAAATGTTGAGTTCTCGCACAGATTGCAGCAACTTATGTGTTTAGCAGGTTGAAGTTCTTTTGATTACCTTGAACAATTCTGGTGGGAGTGTTTACCGGTCGTTCTGAGGAGAGACACTTGTGGTGCACCTGTAAGCGACATGAGGAAGCATTACTGGTCATTCCCCATAAGAGTTATTGCACCATCACTTACAGAATCTTCAACATGCCACGTCTTTTATGCGTGGGAGACGGCAAACATTGACAAGGAGGGCTGAAGTTGGGGGGGGGGG